AAAAAATAAAAGTACTAACTGCTACCCAAAACCGTTATATCAACCAGACTTATAATCTCTCTACCAACCAAAAAAACTCTTCATTGTTGATTTTTTTTTTTTAACAAAAAGTGAAATCATTTTTATTTTCTTTCCAAACATAGTGTTTGAAACTTTGAATCAAATCTGTGCCTAAAAGTGTCCAGATTCACTGTATCACTTTTACGTCAAATTTTAGTAACATACATAAAAGTATACAATTTTCGGTGACTTAAATTATGGAATCTAAAATGCCTAGTTTTTGGTTAGAAATGGGAGCCAATTTCTTTTTCATTTCCCCAATTCATTAATGAAAAATCACATTGATTTTTCGTTTTAATGGATGTTCTATTTTCCGACAATTATAATAATAATAACTCTTTTTTTTTTTATCAAAATTTCCCTATGTCTCCTCTTCTTCCTTCTTTATATAGCATCCCTACGCAGCCCCAAAATAGCAAACTTCTCCTGATCACACCTCTATCTTCCATACATCTTCGCATCTGCCTCTGCCCTTTGCATCCAAACCCAGGGAATTCCCTCTTTCCTCATTGCTCGTTTTCTTTTTATCCATGGCAGACACCAAAACCCACGGCTTTGTTTTATCCGGAAAGAAGCGCGCAGGAGCTGATGATTTCGACGGAGACGATTATTTCGTGGCCAAGAAATCATTGTTGCCACCTCTAGCACCGTCGTGGGAGGACCCCGCCGCCGCATTAGCCAACGCCCGCCATGAGTTCGGTGAGCATGGCGGTGTGAATATGTCAATTGAGGCCTCCGCCACCTTCACCGTCATGGAGCCCGAGACTATGCGCCGCATGTTCTCTGGCGAACTCGGCCCCGATCGTGACTTCTTTATCTACAGCCGTCACTTCAACCCCACCGTCTTGAATCTCGGTCGCCAGATGGCGGCTTTGGAAGGAACGGAGGCGGCCTATTGCACTTCTAGCGGTAATTTTATTATTAAAAAAAAAAAAAAGAATAAATCCCAAAACCTTTATTACCAGAAACTGTCGGATTAATTGATTCAGTTTCTGTTTCGGTTTCCTTACAGGCATGTCCGCCATTTCCTCTGTGCTGTTGCAACTCTGCAGCAGCGGCGGACACGTGGTGGCATCGCAGAAGCTCTACGGTGGCACCCACGCACTCCTGACCCATTTCTTGCGCCGAGCCTGCAACATTACGACGTCGTTTGTGGACATAACCGATCACGCGGCGGTCAAGAATGCCATGGTGGAAGGCAAGACCAACGTGCTGTACTTCGAGGCCATCTCGAATCCGACCCTCACCGTCGCCGATATTCCGGCGCTAAGCAGGATGGCACACGATAAAGGTGTCAACGTGGTGGTTGATAACACTTTCGCACCGATGGTTCTGTCCCCTGCCCGGCTCGGCGCCGACGTGGTGGTACATAGTATCTCCAAGTTCATTAGTGGTGGGGCCGACATTATTGCAGGTTTGATGTTTGTTTGTGCTTTCCACCGTACGCGTGTCGTAATGCTTATGAAATTTAGCTCTCAACTCAAGTGGTAATTTATAGCGTTGGTACCTAACTTAGTAATTGTTTTAATTGAGTCTCTTGTGTTTTATATGTTACGATATATAGTCCCTAATAGAGGGATTATATTTTTATTAAGGTTAATTTTAAAGCCTACAAGATATTTATAAAATGTGAATCTAGGTGGGACGATTCCTCATTTCCTGGACTTGTGGTACCTTGATGCCACATAAGATGTGCCAGACCCTGATGTTAACTAGGACTAAAATATGTAACAACTTAAAGGTTAGGGACAAAACCCAAACATCATGATAGGTAGAGGGGTGCATTTATATTTATTACTATAATTTCCATTTTAATATATTAAATTAAAACAAGATATATTAACGTATTTCCATTTTGATTCTCTCTCTCCCTCTCTCTCTCTTTCTTTAAATTTTTTTTTAAATATTTGATTCTTTTTTATTTATAAAGATTTTCTTTTGATAAAAGAAAGGATATTCGGAATCTCTTTATTTATAAAGATTTAATAATTACAAATTGCGAGTAAAAACACTATTTTGGTGCTGGTTATGATCAACACAAAAGACATTTTAGGTTCATGTGGCGAGCAGCTTTATATCTCGTGAATGATGATGTCTATTGTTTTCCTCCTAATTTGCTGCGTATTTAATTTTACCACTTTATTTTCTAGGAATTCTTTAATGATGAAAAGGATGTGTTCCTGAAATTTGACCTTATAGTATGTTTCTGATCTCCCCCTTTGTTATCCTAAGTGTATGCTTTCATGTGAATGTGATGTCTCTTTCTTAATTTCTCGTTTTTGTGTAACCTATTATTATGATTTGATTAATTCATATGATCCCTAATTTTAAAAAGTTCATTTCTAGCTGAAAGCTTGGTAAGAATCTAAAATTTAGAGAATTGGTCTCAGGTTCAGTTATACGTAGATTAGACATGGACATTGGGCTAGTTGGGGCTGGCCGCAATTCCTGACCACGGATGTCTGCCCAGGAGATGACTGTGGCTAATCTAGGCTGGGATCAGTCTGTTGGTTATGTTTACTCATGCTCACCATGAGTAATTGTAACCAAAATTACTTTTTTTTTTTTTTATTGTTATCTAGCCTAATTGTAGATGGTGTATCTTGTGTTAACTTATTGAGAATTGGCAATTTTCAGGTGCTGTCTGTGGGCCAGCTAGCCTGGTGAATTCCATGATGGACCTTCACCAAGGGACACTGATGCTCTTAGGACCAACCATGAATGCCAAGGTTGCTTTTGAACTGTCTGAAAGAATTCCTCACTTGGGCCTGAGAATGAAGGAGCATTGCCGCAGAGCATTGGAGTATGCCACCAGGATGAAGAAACTAGGACTCAAGGTTATTTATCCAGGCCTCGAGGACCATCCACAGCACGAACTCGTCAAATCCATGGCCAACAAGGACTATGGGTTTGGAGGAATTCTCTCTGTCGACTTAGGAACAGAAGAAAAGGCCAACAGGCTGATGAACCACCTCCAAAATTCCACCCAATTTGGATTCATGGCAGTTAGTCTGGGTTATTATGAGACTTTGATGTCTTGTTCTGGCAGCAGCACTAGTAGCGAACTGAGCGCGGAGGAGCAGGAACTAGCTGGAATCTCTCCTGGTCTGGTGAGGATGTCAGTTGGGTACATCGGAACATTGGAGCAGAGATGGAGCCAATTTGAGAAGGCGTTATCTAGGATGCAGGATTCAAGTTTATTTAAATAAACAAGTTTACTGTTTGTTTACCGTGATATAAATAAAGGGAGGGATCCTTGCGTGTTGTTTTTGCTGAAGTTGTTAATGGTTAATCTTTTGAACAGTGTAATGTTTTTCTGTTTGTTTGCAAGAACAATATTCTGATCTGAGGCTGAAATTAAGGTTAAGCCTACGAACTTAAGTGGTTATAAGTTTTAGGTGAAACCCTTTATTAAGTCTCTAAATTTATTTTAAATTCTTAACTAAATTTTTAAATTTTTATTAGAGTAAATAAAGTTTTAAATTTATCAATTTGAGTAATTTAATATTTTTTTATGATAAATTTAACATTTGTTTGTCTTATTTGTGTAACTAAAGTTAATACCTATTACATAAGTAATAACATATCAATATTTTATGTGATATGTAAATAGGGATTAAATTCACTGTGAAGAAGAGGAATTAAATTGTCTAGATTGCAAAAGTTAGGAGCTTATTAGCCTCAATAAAAGTTTAGGGATTAAATTAAAAATCTAGGGTGAGTTCAGAGGCTTAAGAGAGGGTTTTGCCTAAATTTTAAGCCTTTGAATTAAATTAAAATGTTTCACTTATGCCGTCAAATTGTTACGGGCTTACGGCATATCAAATTAGCCCTTCACTGACGGCAAATCAGAGTGTGACATAATGTGCCATCCATATCCGTTTGATTAGTGCTGAGTCGACATATTTTTAATATACATAACTGCAGCCACAGAAAAAAAGAAGAAATACTGTAAATTGTAAAATAAAAATATTATAGAATGCTTGGATTAATTTTTAAGAAATAAATTTTATTTTCCCAAATAATTTAAAATTTTCGTATTCAACAATCAGCTTCTTATTATTTCTAAAAATTTTGAAAAATACCCATAAATTTACTTTCCCTATTATACAGTAAAACCCAAAATCAAAAGTTAACATTTTTCCTATTAAAAAAAAAAAGAGAGAGAGAGAAAAAATTGACATTATAGTTTAAGTATCGGAAACATATCAAAATTGATGATTTTGTTTCTCTTTTAGAAAACTCTAGTTGATTGAATTTGTATGGAAAAGCTTGCGAAGCAAACAAAAGACACAAAAATCAAAAAAGAGAGGTAACTGTTCCACACAAATGGTTGAACACCTAACCACTCCTCTTACTCTTCCACGTTCCATATTTGATGCACCCGAGTAGTTTAATACCTTAAATGATACTTTTTTTAATTCAAGAGCTTAAATTTTAGAACCACTTAAGTTCGAGGGCTTAAACCTTTATTTCAGCCGTGTTCTAACATTAAACATTTTTCCCTTGAGAAATTTGAGTATAGACAAACTTGTACAACAACTGCAACGTCGTGGGTTCAAGCTTCTTCTTCTTCTTCTTCTTCTTTTTGGTCTATTAAAGAGTTAGTTAGTTGATAATAAAGAGATTTAAACTTCTAATCTTAATACTAATTCAAAAATTCTCAATTAATGAATATCAATATAACCAAGTTTTTGTTAGTTAAAGTTTCCCTTGTACATTGGATTTGAGTGTCCCTTGTATATGGAGATTTTGTTGGTTCAAGCTTCCCTTGCACATTGGGTTTGAGTGTCCCTTGTATATGGAGATTTTATTTTCTCTAACTTTTTTTTTCCGGATTTTGTTTTTGTCCCAGGTCCTGCATGAAGTTTTAAATGGACTTATCTACTGAGCCTTAAACTCTATGGATTTACATAGGCTCCCCTTAGTGGGCTGCTTTGGTCCATTTTCTATTCTAAGAAATCCGTTTAAATAAACGTGAACCTGGAGAATCAATGGAATCTTATAAATATTTTTGTGATCAATTTTGTCCCTTAGGTATGTTGTAAATGTTAAGAGTTATTTTAGTATATTGGATAATAAGTTATATAATAAAGAATAGTTCTCTCATTCCTAAACCTCTCCTTAACCTCTAAGTGTAAACAGTTTGTTGCCTTATATTATAAGATTTAAGTTCAAAGCTTCAAAACATGTTTGCTGACTGAAAGTATTTTAGAAATAGAAAATGGGACAAAAAAAGGGAAAAACATTGACTAAATGTTGCCACTAGTATATAGGGACCACAAATGCTTTCTTTTGGAGATTAATGAAAATAGTATGACAATGTATGTGTAACTCCTAACTCCTAAGGTACATATTAATTAAGTCTCTGTATGGTATCACCATAAAAAAATCAGTTTTTGTTTAGTATATTTATAATTTTGATTTTCATAAAATTTATAATTATTAAAAAAAATAAAATTAATAATTAAAAAATTAATAATTTGTTTAAGATGAATTTTAATATTAAATATATATAAATAAAATTTATTTAATAATATAAAATCTTAAATTTTAGTTTTTTATGTTAAATTTTAATTTTTTTTACAAATTCTCATTAAAAATTAATGTTAGAATTTTAAATTTTTT